CTACCTGCTCCCTACTGCTCATTAGTCCTCTCTTTGTTCAGTTAAATACTCTCCTTGTGCAGTTCCTCAGGGCTGGTTCCTCGTCTAACTTTGTCTAACTCCGTCCTAATGTGTCTCCTAAAGTCTCCATTGTTCTGGTTTGTTTGACTTTTTTCATGTTTGATTTTTTTGGGATTTTTGGATTCCTGCCTCAGTTGTTTGTGAACCTTTCATTAAATCTACAAAAACTCTCCTCTGCCTCCCTGCCTCTGCAATTGGGTCCTCAAACCTCAACCAAACCCTGACACCCAACAGCTATTCATTCACAAGTAAACCGCTATGATTGTGGTCATAATGTTGCGCTTGGTAGTTATTTATAAAGGTTTATTAGAAATGGCTTAGGGATTAATAATAATTGAACTTTACTGATCTCACACTGGAGAAATTTACCTCTGCATTTAACCCATCCCCTCGGAGAGTAGTGGGCTCCCACTGTGCGGCGCCCGGGGAGCAGTGTGGGTCTGTCGGAGTGGGACTTGAAATCAGAACCTCTGGGGGCCAATCGCAATGCCCTAACCACTAGGCCGTCACTCCCCCTAAGACATAAAATGTATGCAACTGAGGCGGAGATGGAAAAAAAGGTGAGAAATGGAACGGGGATAAGAATTAAGATGGAGAGAGAAAAGAGAAAATTAAAAAACAAAACAAAAAACAAGGAAAATATACAGTGGCTCCTATACTTCCACACCTACATGATATGAGAAGGAAAGAAAAACAACACAATGCAGTATCCACAAAAAGAGAAAGTACCCCATAGTCACCCAGTCAATACATGTATATAGAAAGCAAAATCAGGATTATACAATAATGTTCAGCTTTGTATTTAGTATTAGAGCGTATCTGTGGACACCTGGAACCAAACATGAGCTCTGAGCAGGTTTAAATGGGATCACACTTGTAGATGAAATCAATATTACCCACTGACCAACTCACAATTCTATTGGCTCCAAAAGATTGTTAGATTTGTAAGGAACACCAACTGGGTGCCTTTATACAATCCCACAAATCAGTGATTTATACTTTACCAGGCGTAAAATCTTTATCTTTGCCATGTCGTGCAGCCCTACATCATTCTGAGTTGCTAAAATTGTGCAGCCAGCTTAGAAGAACGACATGATATGCAGGCAAAATGTAGAAATATTTGTAAAAATATATAAAAAACCCTCAGGAAAAAAAAACATACAAAATAAAAGCTCTTGAAAGAAAACAATTTGATAAAGATAGAAAAAAATGTGTACATAGAAATATGTACATAGAATGTTGAGTAAAGCATAAAGTGCAGACTGGTTTTTTAGGGTCTGATGGTCTGTTTGATGGTCACCAGAGGTGTTAGTGAGTGTATGGTATAGTGTGGCTCAAAAAATAGTTTTATAAAATAAAATAAAAATAAAAAATCAGCAGCATATTGTGTTGCTGTTATAGAAAGCAGGATTTTCACGTTGTTTTGGTTCTGGCTCAGCAGTACAGATAGTACTTATTTAATTTAAATACACTAACAAAGGGAACATGATCATAAATTAAGATTTTGCATCATTTTTTATTTTTTCAATAAACCAAATGTTTTAGGAAATAGTTTTACCCTCAGATTTCATTACATTTTTCATGTTTGGCAGCGATAATAGATACGGCTTTATGACAACTTTAGCAAACTGGTGTCCCCAAATACATGCTAGTTGTGTTATCAACTGGTTAATTTGGGAAAATGCAACTTTAACTAGGAGTTTCACATCAGAACCAAACACCATAACAGAGTTTTATTCAGGCATCAAATATACAGGCTTTAAGTGACTTTTTCTAAGTTCCTGGATTAAAAAAACATCAACCAATTGGTCTTTTGCCCACTTTTTTAAGATACTGTATCTCCTTTCTTTTTTAAATGTGACCTTGGTGTTATTTTAGGATAGGGTCAGGATTAAAAATTGAGGCATTTATTGGATAAAAATGTGCTGTGGGCTGGAAAGTCGTCTGTGACGCTGTGAACTATTGAAATGGGTCCACTTACTCCCTGCTAAAATCTTCAACTGTATAGAATTTTAAAGTAAAAAAAAAAAAAAATTAGAAACTTTAAAAAGAAAATACCTATTTGGATATAATGTTTTACAGTGGTGTTTGGGATGAGAGCCACTAATGCAGTGGTAACCGGATTAAAAATCAGCGAGGTCCAAATAAGGAAAATCATCAACCAGTAAAGGGAGGAGACATTTTTATTTATAATCTGTTACTTTAAACAGAATTTAACACTGAAATAAACTTAGATTGTTATGCATCCATGTTATACATTGACTTTTTAAATAATATATATATATATATTTGTATAAATATATAAAAAATAAAATTTGTCCATTTTAAAATCTGAAGTGTTTTTTGAAGTAGAAAACAATTGTCCAGTTTGGTATATAGACAATTTCCTGATTGACATATTTTATAAAACACCTGAACTGAGCATTTGTTTTTGTTTTTTGTATTTTTTCAATGTCTTAATGTTGGCATTGGGCTTTAGGCTGCCCTGCAAGGCTTTAAACCTGGGTTTGAATGGAGACTAAGCCATTCT